GGAGCGCTGCACCGGGTTGTTGTTTCACAAGATGTTCCTGAGTCTATTGTGCCTGCCAGGGACTGGTTTGTGAAAAAAAAAACCCCATCCAACCCCTTGTCCTGCTGTCTCCATTTGTAAAACTGCTCAGTGAGTACTGGCCCAGATCCCAGCAACTTTGAAATTAAGTCAGTAAAGGTGAGATTTTTCTCACCGAGTTTTTGTTAGTCATGTACATTTGAAGAGATTAATCATACTTTAAGCATTTCAGTATCTTTAAAGCAGGATAGGGCTTGGTGGCTTTATTATTTATAGGATGCTGCGGACATATGTGACACTTGACAGCAAAGATAAGCAGAGCTGAAAATGTAATTTACAGACCCAGTTCTGTAACCTGGTTTACTGGGGCACGATGGCGAGACAAAAACTGGAACAGCAAAGAGAAAGCAAGGCAGGGAAGGGTGAAAGATGGGCTCAGAGATGACTTTGCCACCTGCTGATGCACACAGGTAAGTTAAGGGCTTTTGGCTTCCTCCAGGCCCTGGCGCTGGTGGCATCCACCCCAGATGTCCTCACCAGCGTGAGTGGACACCGCGCTCTAGCGGGGCCCTGCACCCACCTTGGCCAAGCGCTCCCCCTCCTCGGTCGGGACCTGTCTCTCTGTGGCGCAGTCGGTTTTGTTCCCCAGCAGCAGAACAGCGACCCCGTCCTCTGCTCCTTCCTGGGCAATTCAAGAGGAGAGGATCAGGGGTGCAGCCGAATCTCCCTTGAATCACAGTCGGGTGCATCCTGCAGCACTGTGAAGGATGCTCACAGATTTGGGCCCATAAAGAAACCTTAAATTCTCAAGCAAGTTAAGCAGCATTTCGGAAAGGGGTTGTTTTCCCCTTAAATCATCATTCCCAGGACAAGTTACCCTTGTAGTGAATTCACTTTGTGTTTGACTGCAGGATCACTCCAGAACTTGTTCCTGCTGGGATTTACAGGCTCTGAGCAAGGTGCTATCCCATTGAGTTCCAGCATTTTTAAACACTGCTGTTGCACTTGAAATCTCCGACAAGAAGTTTTTAACTAGACACGAGTTACCTCCCATTTCCCACCTCTTAAAATGGGCTATTCTTGATTTGAAACCTTTTAAATCTTGATATAATTAAAAAAAATAAAATAAAATTAAAAAATTCTCAAAATAACGTTCAATATTTTCCATTCCTCTGCACCGCTTTTTCATTTTAAATAAGTTGATAATTACCATAACGATGCTATAATTATCGTAACGATGCTATCAACAAATCAGCCCAGGAAACGTTGCAAAAAAATGTGAAAACTCTGTGTCTGAAGTTAAAAAAATCACCCAAGAAAAGTTATTTCCTAAGCAAACCAAAGCCAAATGCTGTTTACGAAGTGCTTGGCCACCCCTGAAGCGGTGGCAGAGGTCAGAGATAGGAAAACGCTGATCTCTGAGGCTTTTCCTACTTCACTTACCTGGACGCAGCTCATCCAGTACCGCACGTCCGAGAAGGAGCGCCCCGACGTGATGTCGTACATCAGCACCACCCCGTCCGCCCGCCGGAAAAACTGCTTGGTGACGCTGCGGTACCTGCGTGCGTTTCAAACGGTCACCGGGGCGCTCCGAGGAGCTTTTGCCTCGCACCGATTCAAAATCCCGGTGAGAAAGATGGAAATAGGTGTTTATTATAAAAGGCAACCCCCCCAGGTTTTGCCCCTGTCCTGATGGTAGAGGCCAGGCAAACAACCCGAGGACTTAATTTTATCTTCATTACTTCCTTTATTATTCTTTATCGTGCACTGTACAGAGTCCCTTCTTAAACAACCCCGCCTTCACTTAGCAAAGCCAAGAACCTTCATTTCCAGTGAATTACCTGCAAAGGGAACCCCCCAGGTTGCTCTCCTGGAGCACACAGCACAGCTCCTCACCTTTCTTGCCCGGCCGAGTCCCACAGGCGGAGAGCAAAGCGCTTGTTGTCCACGACCAGGTTTTTGATCCGATAATCCAGTCCTAGGAGACACAAAATTGGGATTTTTGGGGGGTTTTTTGGATACCATAAAGTTCATCCCTGCGATAGAGAACGGATGGAGAAGGCACATGGGGCAGGTGTGGTTGGAGGCTGCAGCCAAATCAACCTGCAGCTTTTAGATCTTTGACGGCTGGATTTTGGGAAGGTCTCTGATTTTGTGATGAGTAAAACCAGGTTGGTTAAGAGAGGAGGATACAACTGAAAGGGAAAGCAGAGAGAAAAGCCTTAAGGCCATTGGTATTGGAGCCCTAGAGAGGGCAAGGAGGCCCAGCACAACCTGCTCAGGAGCATCCAGGTGTGTGAAGTTGGTGGCTCTACTTGGTCCTTGGTGACAGCTTGTGTAGCACATGAGTTGACATGCGTTAAACGATCACCAGCAGCTTTTGGGGTGGAGGAAAGGGAATTGTGAGCATCACCCAAGCGGGTGCAGTCTGGGGCTGGCCAGGAGCTGGTGCACACCTACCTACAGTGGCTGTAAGGTGTGGGTTGAAGGTGTCGGCGTGCAGCCGGTACAGGAACGTCGTTTTGCCCACGTGGGAGTCCCCGACGAACAGCACGTTGTAGAGGTGGTCTGGGTCCAGGGAGGCTGCAGGAGAACCCCCTGCCCCATCTGCAGCCATGGCCCCTGGCTCTCCTGGGCTGGGCTCACCTTCCCAGTTTGTTTTCCGCCCAACTTCTTGCTGCTTCTCCCGCTGACCAACATCAAGGTCTTTGCTCTCTTCTCCCGAGAGCTGCATCCTGCTGTTGGCTGCATCCCCCAAGGAGCCATCTCTGAGGACCGTCCCCAACTGATCACTGCCAGCATCTTCCTCCTGCCGGACCCCCACGTGAATGGTTGATGCTGGTGGCACCTCTTCTTTTGGAGGCTGGGCAGGTTTGGCAGATACCTGCTCCGTTTCCATCACCTGCGGCAGCTTCTGGGATGCAGTGTGAAGCTTCACCTTATCTGCCTGTGCCGGGACCTGCTCCTGAAGCTCGCTTTGGGCTGTCTGCACATCTGGAACGAGAACATCCTCCTGCATCAGCGTTTCCAGCTTTAACACGCTGATTGGTAACGGCACCTTGGGGACTGGGAGGGACAGTGCAGATGCACCAGCATCGTGGTCCTGCTTTATCCCTGGAACCTCAGTTTCCCCTGAACTCCTCGTCTGTGCCTCCAGCCTCTCTCCCTGCACTGCTCCCAGGCCTTGAGCTCCATCCAGAGGCCTCCCCTCTGCAGCAGCCCCTTCTCCCTGCAGTAATTCCAGTGTCTGGGTGTCCTCTGGGATCTGCCCATCAGGAACAGGGGGTGCTCCCAGCTCCATTCCCAGCCCAGGACCCTCAGCCACAGGGGCACCCTCAGGATATGAAGTGGGCTCAGGTGGAGGGGGCACAGGGACAGCAGCAGCCCCCTCCCACACATCTGCAGTGGGAGCTGTGCCCAGACCTGCCTCCCACCCAGAATTTGGGCTCTGCTCCCCTTCCTTCATCCCAGCTGTGCCCAGGGATGCCAGATCTGCCCCTGTGCTCCCTCCTGGCATTGGTTTGAGCTCCTCTGCCTCTGTAAGCAGCTGCACGTTGGTATCAGCGCTCTGGTCCTCCAGCACCTCCATGGTTACAGCATCCTCAGGGGGCTGCACACCCACACCAGCCCCCTCGCCCTGCCCAACTCCTGCTCCCTGTGGATCCAGCACAGGCTCCTGTGACAGCTCACGCTCGTCCTGTCCTTGTGCCCCATCCTCAACCTCCTCCCTGAGATGTACGGCTGTGTGGTACCCTCCTCCCTGGAGGGCTTCTGGGCTGGCATCTCTAAGTGTCAGCATATCAGCCTGGGTGTCCTCTGCCATCACCATTTCCACCACCTCTGGTTTATCGACCTGAGCCAGGGGGTGCACATCTGGACCCATGCTCCCTCCCTGCTCCCTCACAGGCTGCAGATCTGTCTCCATGCTCCCTCTTGGGGCTGATTTGAGCTCGTCCACCTCTGCAATCACCTGCACATTGGCACCACAGCCCTGATCCTCCAGCACCTCCATGGTTACAGCATCCTCAGGGGGCTGCACACCCACACCAGCCCCCTCTCCCTGCCCAGCTCCTGCTCCCTGCAGATCAAGCACAGGCTTCTGTGGTGACTCATGCTCATCCTGTCCCTGTGTCACATCCTCAGCCTCCTCCCTGAGATGTATGGCTATGTGGTTCCCTCCTCCTTGGGGGATTTCTGGCCTGGCATGCCCAAGCATCTGTATATCAGCCTGGGTGTTCTCTCCCTCCTCCGTTTCCACCAACTCTGGTTCATCGACCTGATCCAGGGGTTGCACATCTGGAGCCACTCTCCCTCCCTGCTCTGTATCCAGGGAGCTGAACTCACTCAAGTTCTGCAGATCTGTCTCTGTGCCCTCTCCCAGGGTTGATTTGAGCTCATCCACCTCTGCAATCAGCTGCACGTTAGCACCACTGCCCTGGTCCTCCAGCACCTCCATGGTTACAGCATCCTCAGGGGGCTGCACACCCACACCAGCCCCTTCTCCCTGCCCAACTCCTGCTCCCTGCAGATCAAGCACAAGCTCCTGTGGCAGCTCAGGCTCATCCTGTTCTTGTGTCCCATCCTCAGCCTCCTCCTCAAGCTGTGTGGCTGCTCCAGCTTCCTCTCCCCACGGGGCCTCTGTGCTGTCACCCCCACGCAGCTGCATGTCTGCCTGGGCATCCTCTATCTCCAGTTTCACCAACTCCGGTTCATCAGCCTGATCCCGGGGTTGCACATCTGGAGCCACACTGCCTCCCTGCTCTGTCCTTGAGTAGCCAGCTTCCCTCAGAGACTGCAAATCTGTCTCCATGCTCCCTCCTGGGGTCAATTTGAGCTCGTCCACCTCCGCAATCACCTGCACATGTGCATCAGTGCCCTGGTCCTCTGGTGTGTCCAGGTTTTCAGCCTCCTCCCGTGGCTGCACACCTCCATCAGCCCCTTCTCCCTGCCTGATGTCCACTCCATGGAGCTGAAGCACAGGCTTATGTAGCAGCACTCGCTCACCCTGCCCTTCTTGCCCATCCTCAGCCTCCTCCATGAGCTGTACGGCTGCAGGATCCTCCCCATGCTGGAGAGTCTCTGGGCTGGCATCCCCACCCAGCTGTGTGTCTGTCTGGGTGTCCTCTGCTTCCACCATTTCCACCAACTCCGGCTTATCGACCTGATCCAGGGGTTGCACATCTGGAGCCACACTGCCTCCCTGCTCTGTCCCTGAGGATCTGGCCTCACTCAGGCTTGGGGGCTGCAGATCTGTCTCAGTTCTCCCTCTTGGGGTTGATTTGAGCTCGTCCACCTTTGCAATCAGCTGCACATTAGCACCATTGCTCTCGTCCTCCAGCACCTCCATGGTTACAGCATCCTCAGGGGACTGCACACCCACACCAGCCCCCTCTCCCTGCCCAGCTCCTGCTCCCTGCAGATCAAGCACAGGCTTCTGTGGCGACTCATGCTCATCCTGTCCCTGTGTCACATCCTCAGCCTCCTCCCTGAGATGTATGGCTATGCAGTTCCCTCCTCCTTGGGGGATTTCTGGGCTGGCATGCCCAAGCATCTGTATATCAACCTGGGTGTCCTCTCCCTCCACCATTTCCACCAACTCTGGTTCATCAGCCTGATCCAGGGGTTGCACATCTGGAGCCACTCTCCCTCCCTGCTCTGTCCTTGAGGTGTCGGCCTCCATTAGGAGCTGCAAATCTGTCCCAGTGCTCCCTCCTGGGGCTGATTTGAGCTCATCCACCTCTGCAAGCAGCTGCACTTTAGCACCATTGCTCTGGTCCTCCAGCACCTCCATGGTTACAGCATCCTCAGGGGGCTGCACCCCTGCCCCAGCCCCCTCTCCCTGCCCAGCTCCTGCTCCTTGTGGATCCAGCACACACTCACCCTGCCCTTGTGCTCCATCCTCAGCCTCCTTCATGAGCTGTATGGCTGCAGGATCCTCCCCATGCTGGGTGGTTTCTGGGCTGGCATCCCCACCGAGCTGCACGTCTGCCTGGGTGTCCTCTGCTTCCACCATTTCCACTAACTCTGACTTATCGATCTGATCCAGGGGTTGCACATCTGGAGCCACTCTCCCTCCCTGCTCTGTATCCAGGGAGCTGAACTCACTTGAGTTCTGCAGATCTGTCTCTGTGCCCTCTCCCAGGGTTGATTTGAGCTCATCCACCTCTGCAATCAGCTGCACATTGGTATCACTGCCCTGGTCCTCCAGCATCTCCATGTTTACAGCATCTTCAAGGGGCTGCACACCCACATCATCCCACTCTCCCTGCCCAGCTCCTGCTCCCTGTGGTTCAAGCACAGTCTCCTGTGGTGACTCACACTTGTCCTGTCCCTGTGTCCCATCCTCAGCCTCCTCACCGAGCTGTACGGCTGTGTGGTACCCTCCTACCTGGGGGATTTCTGAGCTGGCATGCCCAAGCATCAACACAACTGCCTCAGTGTCCTCTGCTTCCACCATTTTCACTAACTCTGACTTATCGATCTGATCCCGGGGTTGCACATCTGCAGCCACTCTCCCTCCCTGCTCTGTCCCTGGGGAGCTGAACTCACTCAAGTTCTGCAGATCTGTCTCTGTGCCCTCTCCCAGGGTTGATTTGAACTCATCCACCTCTGCAATCAGCTGCACTTTAGCACCACTGCTCTGGTCCTCCAGCACCTCCATGGTTACAGCATCCTCAGGGGGCTGCACACCCAGACCATCCCACTCTCCCTGCCCAACTCCTGCTGCCTGCGGATCAAGCACAGGCTCCTGTGGCAGCTCAGGCTCATTCTGTCCTTGTGCCCCATCCTCAGCCTCCACCATGAGCCGTGTGGCTGCACAGGACGCTGGCTGTGGCTCCAGGTGCTCTCCTGGCTTCATTTCAAGTTTCTCAGAGAGCCCCAGTGATGGCTCAGCCTCTTCCCCCAGCCTCGCATCCCCATCTCCCGGAGCTGCAGCCGGGCCAAGCTCACCCATAGCAAACCACCATCCCTCTGCAATCCCTGCATCCCCAGCCTCAGCCGCCCCCAAACCTGCCTCTGGATTTTCTCCCTGGCTTAACGCTGCTTCCTCAGCTTCTCCTGGGGACTGTGCTTTCTCCCACCCTGTTTTTCCCTCCACCTCCATCACCGCCTGCTCGCTCTCCTCCGCGCTCTCAGGTCCTTGCAGATGCTCGGTCACCTTCAGCATCAGCTCCTCGGCACCAGGACCCTTTCCCTGCGGGAATAACCTCCTCTGCGCCTCCTCTGGGCTCTCTCCCTGCTCTGCCCCCGGCTCCTGAGCCCCGTGGTGCCCGGCTCCCGCGGACGCACCAGTCTGGGTCACATCTGGAGCACCAAGCTCAGCTGCAGCTGGTCCCAATTTCGGGTCTCCTCCAAACAGCTCCTGACCGGGGAGGGTCTCTTGCAAGTCCCCTGTGGCTGCCTCCAGCCCTGTTTTGGGCTCAGCATCATCCCGGGGGGGTGCACCCAGCCCCTGCGGCTTCAGCTGTTGGCTCAGAGCCGCTATTGCGTCATTCATCTCTGTTAGCAAAGAGCTTTGGTCAGAAAAGCGTTCCTCTTTCAGCATTTCGGGGAACGGGTCCTCTTCTGCAGAGCTCGCTCTCCGCAGGGCTCCCAAAGGGCTGCTTTCTGCTGGCAGAACCTCCCAAACCCTGGAAAGGGCAGAAAGTGGGGAAGAGGAATCAGCCCAGGCACCAGGTTAGGCTCCAGCTCCCCCCCATCCACCCGGGTTGGTACCAGGAGGGGTCTCTCCATCACCTCACCCCATCCCTCTCCAAACCAGGCTGTGTTCACCCCCTGCCTGCGCTGCAGGTTCACACAGGGGAAGAAGGGGGACAGCCAAGGGACAGATCCGGGGCTGTATCCTCCCCAGCAAGCAAGTGTCCCTCATCCCAGGCCCCGCATTTCCATTATTTGAGGTGAAAAATACAACTTTGGGCCAGGGACAGTGAGTGGCTGGGCCAAGTGGGGCAGTGATCCAATCTCTGGGATGGGTGGGAGGGAAAGGAGCATTGAAAGAAGTAAATCGTGTGTTTTTCCTGGGAAGGGTGGAGGGTTTGGGGGATTGCAGATGTCAAGGGTGCAAGCTTGGCACCCAGGACCCCTTACGCTTGGTGGGTGTTCCTGGCTTTGGGCTCCTCGCTCTGGGAGGACCCCAGCCTGATCCGCATCTCAGAGCGGTACTTCTCGCTCCTCTCCGGACTGGTCTGCAGAAAACGGGGTGGGAAGAAAGAAGAGAGGAAAGCGCTTGGTGAGGAAGCACAGCCACGTGAAACGATGCTGAGCTCCCCAGCAGGTACCCAGACGTACCCACCCAAAATCTTGGGGGTATCGGAAGTAACGTGCTGCTACTCCATCCCATCCCAAGCGCCTGCAGGGCACCCAAACCAAATAGCACGGACACCCTACCCCATCCCCACATAACCTGGAGTACCTGCGGGGACAGGGGCATCACACCGGGCAGCTCCACCACCACCGTTCTGCCCCTGCAAACACAGAGGTCAAGATGGCAACTGCATCCTCGTCCTCTGCTGGTTGTCCCCAGCCCAGAGGCGGTGATGTTCCAGTGTTCAGAGCCCTGGCCCAGGCTGCCCAGAGAGGTTGTGGAGTCTCCTTCTCTGCAGACATTCAAAACCCGCCTGGACGCCTTCCTGTGCAACCTCATCTGGGTGTTCCTGCTCCGGCAGGGGGATTGGACTGGATGAGCTTTGGAGGTCCCTTCCAATCCCTCACGTTCTGGGATTCTGTGATGGGCTGCAGCGGGACAGCGAAACCCCCAGTGCTTGCATCAGTCCTGGTTGGGTCCTTCTGGGTGAAGGACGTTCCCATCTCTGCTGGCACTGTCCATGTTCAGCGCATGGTGCTGATAGTCCTGGCTTTTCCTGATGCTTTTCACCCCAAAACCATGCTTCATCCACACCATGGAGACCACTGAAGCAGCGCAACGACCGAGACCCATCGAACTCATTCATTGCAACCCCAGATGGAAACCATTTATGTACAGAGATGCCGGTCACTCACCTGGGCTCCTCCGCGTGCTCCCCAGCCACTGTGGCCCTCGCCGTCCGCAGGCGCCCCTGGGTCTGCTGGAGCTGCTGGTGGAGGTGCTGCAGATGGTCCTGCAGCGCCCGGTTGCTCTCCTCCAGCTGCCGGTTTTCGGTGCTGGTGGCTTGTTGTGAGCTGCGGAGGCTGCGGCACCGCGTCTCCAGCTGTGGGACGGCAACGGGGACGCTCACACCTCACCATGACCCCCCCCATGTGAAAAAACTTATGGATAATCTTCTTCTCTAGAGCTGGGGCTGGATTTCCACCTCCTAAGAGTGGGGAACTCAACTTGGATGCTCTGGGGATGGAGGGGAGAATGGGGATGGGAAAGGAGAGGTTCTCTGTGACAACCTGCATCAAGGGCTGGTGGGAACAGACTGGGACCAGCCCAGAGACCCCCTAAACACGATGGGGGACCAGGGGTTGGGGTCACCTCACCTCCATCTGTGCCGTCACCAAGCGCTGCACCTCCCTCTCGCTGGCATCCAGCGCCTGCTGCAGCTCCACGCTGTGCTGGTGGCTCCGGACCATGCTCTGGGGTGACAATGGGGACATTATTAGCACCCCCTTGCCCATCTGGGAGCTGCCACGGGGGATTTAAGGGTGCTGGGCCCCCTCCCATGGTGGGTGGCAAGGGGAGAGGGGCGGTTGTGGCCCACCTCCTGCTCCAGCCGCTGCTGTTCCTGCTGGATCTGCTGCTCCAGGGCCTGGCAGAGCTGCTGCACCTCCTGGTCGTGCTCAGCCACGCGTCTGATGGGGACGGGGGGTGGTCAGACCCCACTGCAGGTCCCCGGGACCCCACATTGCCCACAGCCCCTGCAGGCTGGGTCTGCCATGGGGAATTCACCCAGCATGGATGTGTCCGGCACCCTGAGGCCAGCACTTTTGCCATCACATGTGTGACTGTAGAGGGAGCCTGATCCCAAAGTCTGAGTAAAAACCCTGCTCCAGACACCGATGGAGATGCTGAGAGCACCGGGGTTTCTCCATTCTTGGCTGCATGGGCATGGCTGGAGTGAGCAGGGGGCCCCATCCCCATCCCCATCCATCACCCTGGGGTGCCTCACTTGTTCAGGGTCACTTCCAAAGCCTCCTTCTTGCTCCTGGCTTCTTGGATGCGGTCCTTCATCCTGGCCAGGAAGCCCTCCAGGTTGCCCAAGAGCTGGGGTTCATCTTGACGGAGCTTCACCCAGAGCTGCCAGATCTCCTGCCTGCAGGGCAAGGGGTGGTTTTATGGTGAGCACCCCCCAAAACACCCCAAAACCAGGCTGGCTATGGAGTCCCGGGCCATTCAGCCCACATGGTTCAGGAGGTGCAGTCCTGGGGTACAGAGGAGCATTGGGGTCACCCTGATCCTGTGTCCTGCTCCTGCACCTCCAAGCCATTTCTGGGCCTCCTGCCCCAGGCCTTTCCCCTCAGACAGCTCTGCCCCATCCTGCAGGGCACCCATGGGTGCTAAACAGGGCAGCTTACTCCTCAGAGGTGTTGTCTATGCCCAGCTGGGCCATGAAGGCAGCAAAGTGTCTCTGCTCCTCGCTGTCCTCCAACAGCGGACTGGGGAGGACCAGGCGGACCCTCCTGGACGCCGTTTTCCGCCGGCGGTGATCGCTGGTGGCTTTTTGGGAGCTCAGGAACTGCCCTGCCAAAGACACCCCAAACCCTCAGCACCCGGCCAGGGCGATGGCAAAGCCCAAACCCCAACATTTCCCATCCCACGGCTTCGATGAACCCCTTTGGTGCAATGGGATCCCTCCCCATGGGCTGAGACCCGGGTGTGGGGATGCTTTTTGGGCCACCCTGTGCCACCAAGCAAGGGGAGCATTTTGGGTCTCCCCAGAAAAGGACCAGGGCCACATCCAGGATGAGCCCGGGCTGCTCGGAGGCAGCGTCCCAGCACTCACAGAGGCCGGCCGTGAACTCCTCGGTGCTCAACCTC